ACTTTTTTCCTCGGGATATTTTATCCAAGTATGAAGAAAACCATTCATAAAATAACCAATTATAGCCAATTTTGCAAAATAGCAAGCAAAATTCAAAATTTTTGACCTTTGAAAAGTAATAGCATTTATGAGTAAAAGTTCCAGTTTCAGTCTAATCAGTCAGGCTTGATGGTTTGCCAAGGAGTTATTGGTCCGTGAATGAAGGAAACCCACATAATCATTGTCAAAGTTTTTTCGGAAGGCACCAGCAACGGCGACAAAGAAACGACAAATGACTGTAGCAAATGCTCATTTTTTTTCTTCAAAAAAGTTGAGCTTAAATAATAGTTCATTGAAAGTTTATATTTTCATTACACCTCAATTAACGTATAGCTATCGGAAAAAATATAAATTCGTTGTAAAAAAAAAACACTCAACATAGTTTAAAAGCATAATAGTATCAAACAAAATAAAATTTAAAAATGTTAAGCCATTATTTCGCGAATAACGGCGTTAAAACGCAAATTTCACTTTTTATTCGTGATACAACGCCTTTATTCGCGTAATTGCGCGTTTTGTGTTATAACGTTTTACCAATATTTTATTTTGATTCATTTGATTCTATTAAGCTTTCGTAACAAATAATATATACCTTTTTAGAATATTGAAAATTATATAGATTCTTTATTGCATCGTTTACATGTTTGTAGAAATAAAAAAAATGATTATTTATCATAATAATATCGCTTAATAAAATACGTTTGATACATGTATAATACTCAGAAATTATTTCTGAAATTAGACATTAATAACAATTTAAGACTTCTAAACTTTATTACAAACTTTATTTGTATGAATAATTTATTTCTGCATATCACACAAGTAGAACACATGTCTTGTACCAGTCACAAAGAAAACCAAACTTCATTGTTTTGATTGAAAGATCTTTTAGAAATCGCAATAAAACATATATCAACACCATAAAGTTTAAAAATTAAAAAATGAACTAAACATATTTTATTAGCCGTGTACACGCATTTAAAAGTCTAACTGATTAAGATCTAAACAATGAGTCTGACGGGTGAATACTGGTTTTTCTTGCATATCAGACAGGATTATCTACCGTTTCGGCGGTGCTAGAAAACCCTGCCTTACACCCCCATGTGTGACAAGTCGCGTGCTTTAAATGACGTCATTGCCGCGCGCCTATTATGAATGAATTGCGTTCTAAAGGATGACGTCATTTTACCGTTATGAATGAAATTTGTAAGTTCATACGCAACTATAAGAAAAACGTGCGTACTCAAAAAAGCAGTTTTCGTAAATTCTCTCCCGAAAATAAATGACATTTAATATGCAAGAAAAAGAATCAAGCACTGGCTGTCGGTACAGACGGGAATATCTAGCTCTCGGGTAACTGTTTAGCGGAAACTTGGCTGCGCCTCGTTACCGCCGTAAACAGTTACCCTTGAGCTAAATATTCCGGTCTGTACCGACAGCCGGTAGAAGATTCCTATATTATTCTATTTATTTGTGTTAATCTAAAGAAGGGTTTGGTAATAAAACAATTATCAATTCCCAATGTATAGGGGCAGAGTAGTACCGCCGGACTCCTATAACTGAAGTTTTCGCTGTTGGATAACTAGCAAGTAATTGTTTATGTTTAGTAAACATTTTGTATATAATTTTATTCAAATTATCTTAATTTCATAAAAAACAAAAGTCGCTGATTATTATTTACACCTAAAACAAATAAACGTCATTCATTAACCATAAAAATATATGTTCACGTCATTTATACGAAGCAATAAAAACACCTGGCGAGCCAAAGTTCCTAACAAATTATGATCGAATACGACAATAAGGTCGCCACAAAATAAAGAACATAAAATGAATCATTTTACAACTCTAAATGTATGTATCAACAACAAACGCTCAACAACAAAATACATTTACTTTACAGCATCTAATCAACATCGAAAAAATAACTTGAACCACCAAAACAACCAATATCTACAGATATCTTCAAAGACATAGTATAAACTTAAAGCATCTTGACAATAACAACTAGATATATCTAATGAAAACAATAGAACTGAACAACCAAATAAAATTCAACAACCAAATACAACTAAAACTCAATCCAGATCAATTTATCACAACAATTTATTACACAAAAATCAACAAATCCTCAAAACTTCCTTCAAACAACAATTTCCATTTCTCTAAAACATAAACGCTACTAACTCCAAGAGAATCTTTCTCGCATGATCATAAAACATTTATTACCAGAGTTGATACTTACACTCAAACTAATGGCAATATGCTTATATAGTTTCATTGTCTATTTGAGCTGAATTAAAAATTTATTTCAAAAAATTAACTTTTATAACGGTAATTTACCGACTTTTAATACTGAGAGAGAAAAAAACAGAAAAATACATGTATAATAAATCTGCCTTAAACATAACAGACTGACCCACTCGTTCTATAATGGCAAATTGCGATTGATGTTTATAGCATGAGATATTTATAGTTCATGAGAAATAGATAATAAAATTGAAAGAAATTATAGCAAAATGTAATAAACCTATTTTAACTTTCACTCCTCACTCACTATATACCCATGAATTGGCATAATGTTATTTTTAACTCGTTGTAAAAATACATAAATTAACAGAAAAAAACTGTATGATAATTCTGACTATTCTGAGAATGTGGCACAAAAATACAATTTCTTGTATTCATTTCGAAGTGTATTGAAAAACAATATACGTGTGATGTTTTACTGAAATTCAGAAATTTGAAGTACATAAAAATCATAATTATCAAAATATAATCCGTTCTGAAATACATATGAATTTTCTGAGTATCGAGAAACATCATACTTAAAGCCAAGTTTGAAGATAGACACAAAAAGTATGAAAGAAACGTCATGTTCAAGGTTTCTCTTTGAAATGTAAATACTAATAAGTCAGAAAAACGAAATATACTTAATGAAAGGGAAGGATATCGACACGTGTGAAAGACAATTGTACTTTTATACTTCAGTGTTAAACAATAATGCTATTTCACACATATTACAATCTTGTTTGAGGTTTTTCTGTTAATACTGTCAATTGGCATATTACATATATCACATAATTTACCTTCACAGAATTAACAAAAAACTACTAAAGTCCTCAAAACATTATCACATTTTTGTATTTCGATAAGAAATTTTCCCGTTCTCATATAATCACAAACCGTTATAAACATAAGTAATGTATATATTTATATAATGTGTAATCAATCCCTCTAAGCATTGAATCATAAACAATTAACTCTGTTTCGCATTCCGATAACATTGAACATGTCTTCAATCTTATATTACTATGTATTGAAAAGTTAAATATTTTGTGTAGTTCTGAAGGCTGTAAGAAATAATATTTTGTTTAAGGAACAAATACATGGTATAAGAGCCTGTTCTGCTTTATCTTTTTCTTTTTCTGTGTCGGAGGAAACTAACATGGGAGGTTCGGATTCGAAACCTAGTAAGTCGTAATTTCAAATAAAAATCTTTCTGCATCTCTTAATGTTAATATGATAAATGTTCACTTACCTTATACATTCTACAAAATAAATTTATATGTAAGTCTTTTTACAAAATAATACGTAAACACATTAAATGTGTTTTTACAAAATATTTAAAAGCTAAGAGTAATGTTTTTTCTAAAATAAAATATAAGAAAACAATGTATACAAAAATACTAAATACACCAATTTCTTTCAATGAAAGAGAGAAAAAAAATAATTCAATTATTGCTGTGTATAAAACGCTTCCCGCAAGAATTCTGTTGAGTATTGTGTAAATTGATCAATTTTACTTTCTTTTTCGATTGTTTCTGTTATGACTTATAACAAATTTACAGATTGTGATGTTGTTTTACAATTTGCATGATGGTGAACAACCAACGCCCGCCACTTTTTGAGTATCGTAGTCAGTTTCTCTCAATTCAGCTTTTAATCGAAAAGTTTGTGTTACTTGGTGAATGTTTTAGAGATATAGCGCAGAAAACTTGGAATACTAAACTTTATCATATGGTGCTGTTTTTGTAGATTTTTCCTGAAAACGAGATTAAGTTTCAAAAACTTCAAGAGCCGCAATAGTATCGTAAACACACTTGTCAAAAATCTAAAAGTTTTTTACAAAAGTCACATAGTTCCAAACAATTTGAGAAAATAGAATTGTATTTCCGCTCACGATGCTTAAATAAAAGTTTTAAGTCCAATCTGAATTTAGTCTTAGACTTTTTTGACTAATTATAAATGTTATGCATGTAGTGTTTCGAAAGAAAAAAATATCGTTAATACTACAAATAAGAATAAAGCGCTAAAAGCACTGAATTCAATGGACAAGAAGGCTCAGCTTAACTTAGGCTTTTCGGTAGTAGGTGACTAGCGGTTGCCTAGGTGGTTATATAGATAAATGTTTATTAGAACATTTTATTTATATTTTTCCATTATACTTTGGCAGATTTTCAAACAATTAACATTTTATCACACGGTAAATAAACGAACAGACACTATAACTCCAACACACCTTGATTTAAATTATTTTAGTTTTATTCTTTTTTAACCTTTTCAATTTCCCATTTATTTAGAGGTTAATACTTGGTTGCAACCAAGTATTAACGTCTTTAATAACTATGTCCGAAATATGGCATTTAGACAAAAATATGTCATTCAGTTTAACCCTCTTATTACATTTGAAAACATGAGAAAACAAAATAAATATGAGACAATGTTGTTTTATTGTTGTTTATATCGATAAAAACTCTATATATTTTTGTGAGAATAACATATAGTGCCAGTTTTTATTAACTTTTGTGCCTCCGAGACTGATGTCTAGCTCCATTTGTCATCGATCCGATCTTATTTCTACAGTCAAACTGAAATCATTTTTGGAAATTCTGAGGGTTATGTTTTGTCTTTGGTAGAGTTATTGTATTCTTTTCTTGAGTTTATAAATCTTCAATGTTAAGCTTTGTTGATTGAGACTGATTACGTCATTTAAACTGAAAGTTTTTTGTGCAAGTGACTACAGTTCATTCAACGTCAGCAGCCATCTTGAAAGTCACTGAGAGTTGATTACGTCATTTTGCACGTGCGCTCATTCACTCGCCCATTATGGAAAAATAATGCCGAGTAGCAAGGCGGCCGAAATTGCATAATGACCTAGATCTTGCCATAATGGCCCTGAAATACCCTAGATTTTGTTACTATATATAGTAACATAGGTATTAATTAGAAGTTAATGTTTTGTTGTTTCTCGTCATTACGCGATAATGGCCCGAATATAAGTGTGAAACATACACTTCCGGTCCAAAGCCTAGCACTTCCGTTGCTTTTGCCATGACAAGTGACTTGAGGCTTTCATAATTTGTACACACAGAATCATTTCATACTTGACACTAGGGTGTGTTTCTGCATATGTGATGACAATTGGGCGAAACAGCAAAACTACTACCAGGAAACTCGTCCCCAATGAATTAAGTCATGCTAAGAAAATAAGTACTTCGATAATTTTTAGACAACAATGACGGAATTCTTGCGAATGTCGAATTCTTAATGCCACTAATTGGTCGAGAGCTCGAGATTTCATTATCTGTTACCATTATTACCATAAACCATAAAACATTAGTTGGTTGACCTGTTTGATTGTACTTAATTGCTATCAAAACTGCTACAAGCAAGAGGAATTACTACTTTTACCTACATGTATATACGCCAGAAGTACATTGTAGTTATATTCATGCGTTTCGTCAAAGTGTCTTTAGAATTATCACATGACGTCAAGTCATATTCCATCGCCTTTTGCAGTTTTTCAGAAGATCTGTTTTGTTGTGTTTTATAGGGTTTTTTTCTATTTTTTTTTCCTTTTTTTAAAAAAAAGAACATCAGTGGAAGTACCTTGATATCTACCAAAGAACCATCTGAATCAATGGGTAGATGCATTGCAAGGTTTCTTTAATATATTAAATAACAAACAAGTATGTTTTGCGAAAAAGCAAAAACATTCTGTACTAGATTTCTTTATACACTTGTTGGCATGGGCTTTAATTGTGTTCTATTGACTGTTACAGAGCTCCGGATAAAATGCGTATTTTCGCATTTCTGCATTGAAAATTACTAAATACGCATCAAAATTCAACTCTGTGCCTACTAATCACTGTTGTACAGCGTCCACCGGATATAGCCCCTAAAAACACCGAAAACGAAAGTAGAAAGCTGCACAACGAGTACACCCAAGGTAATGTTTTAACTTATTTCTTCATCATAACTTCATCGATTTTTCCAAACTAAACAATATCGTGAAGCGAAATATGTCTAGTTTTAGAGCAGTGTTTGCTTTTGCCTGCAAATAAAATATTTTTTGTTAAATTGGTGATAAAATGTAGCGTATTTGTCGACATTTGCGAACGATGTTGATATTTACCACTAAATCAAGCACAAAACGCATTTGCTGTATCAAATTCCGCCGTTAATACAAACTATAGTCATCCCTCTACTTATATTTGAGTTTTCACCCTTCAACTCGAGCTGCTTTTAACAAAATTTGCAAAAAACTGCCTTGCCTTGTGTACAGAGTCTAGCACGGATGTGTACGGGGTGTAGATGGAAAACTGATAGCGATTGTACGGGGTGTAGTAGGTAAATGAATGTCATTTTCTGCAAAATATATTCAATACCAGAGCATATACACGTGCGCTGATGAAGAAAACGATTTATGTCGGGATCAGGGATTGTGAAGTGAATGATTTTAATTTTATTAAGGATAAAAATGTTAAATTAAATTGTCAACATGTTACGCAACATGTATATTAATTGCAGTAAACAGTTTCCGTCCTGCTATACCACTTTTTATGCGTGACTATAAGTTAATAGGGTAAATGTAAAACTCAAAAGACCACAATTTCATTCCATATTTAGTAGAACATTATGAACAGAAAATTCTATAATTTGTCTTAAACAATTTCAAACCATGTTCGTGTTATGCATTGTGAACTAAACTTGATCTAAACATGTTATATTTGTTTATTATGTCACCGGTCTTAAGACTTCATTGAAAAACAAAAATTTGTTAATGAGCTTTGGTAAAATATCCGCTTTGATTAGTTAGGTTAATCATTATATTTATCTTTGTGGAAATACTACATTACTGGCTATAAAGTCCTTCATATTTTTTTGCAGTCAAACTCGGGTGACCTCACTTGTGATTTCGATATTCAGTTTAATAAATACAATGCTGCCGCTTATATATGCTGCTGTTTTTTTCTGAAAAAGATTATGATGACTCTTCAATGATGATGATGACGATGATGATAATGATGGTATTTTATGTTTTCATTTCAACATTGCCATACCAATGTACAGAGTGTGCAGAGAGATATGAAACATTTAAAGAGTCTATTCGGCATCTTCTAAGTCGACTAATAGCTTATATGAGGCGGCTAAAACTGTTTTATAGAAGACAGTGCTAATGCCGTTTTGTAGAAAATGACAGTCCTGCATAATCTTTTAATCAATTTTCGACCTCCTACCTTATATGTAGGTTAGTTATACATGTATATATAAATATATCCCCATTCGGACCATCTCCATTCAGCGAGTTGGTTTAGAAGACTCCTCAACATGTCTTATAAATACCGACAGACACTATTCAGCTGATGGTTGTGATGGTATGACAAAAAAAATTAAACGCAGCTATACTGTTAGGCTCAAAAACACTAAAAACATAAATTATTTACCAAATACCTCGTCCTCTAACCTATCCATGTTTAGTCTGATATGAGATTTTTTCCAATTAAGAATAATAAGAAAGACTATACTTTATAAATATGTGACTGCTAGACACCGTTCACATCTACTAGACCCTGTACATTAAACTACTACACTCCGTTCACTTAAATTTGTTTTCTTTGCTAGACTCTGTACACAAGGCAAGGCAGATTTTTGCGAATTTTGTTAAAAGCAGCTCGAGTTGAAGGGTGTAAACTCAAATATAAGTAGAGGGATGACTATAATTTGTGTAAAACGGTGAATTTTGATACAGCAAATGGGTTTTGGGTTTGATTTAGTGGTAAATATCAACATCGTTCGCACATGTCAACAAATACGCTACACTTTTTCGCAAAGTTAACAAAAAGTAGTCAATTTGCAGACAAAAGCAAATATTTCTCTAAAACCAGAATCATTAAGCTTCACAAAAATTGTTTAGTTTGGACAAATCGATGAAGTTATGATGAAGAAATAAGTTAAAACATTACCTTGGGTGTACTCGTTGTGCAGCTTTCTACTTTCGTTTTTGGTGTTTTTAGGGGCTAAATCCGGTGGACGCTGTACAACAGTGCTAATAATCCGGTCGAAAAAATGTCGGGTACGCATACAACTCGATTAAAAGTGCGTAAATGGTCAAATAATTTCAAACCGGTAATCAAATGCACCCTAAAAGATGAAAACAAACACCGTAAAAGTGGTTGCTATCAATACTGCATATTCTAGCCAGATACATATGTGGATCATTTTGACGTTAAAAAAGTTATTTTGTATAATTTATCGCAAGATTGATATAAAAACACAAGTTTCATGTCAGTTTTTTTTTACAATTTGGTCCAATATGTCGGAGCGGATTGAATCTGCTTTGGTCTGTTGTTTTCGTTGCAATTGCCAAACATACCAGATGATTAACTGATCATAACAAAAGAACAAAATTTGTTGGTAACAGGTTAAGCATAGATGACTTAAGTCTAGGTGATGAACTGGTTGAGATGACTCTGTGCTGTCGATTTACAAAGGCTAAGTTGCATAGGGGAGCGGTGGCCTAGTGGTAAAGGTGCCCCCTCTCAACCCAGGGATCATGGGTTCGAGGCCATGGGTCACAACCATTTTTTTCATATGAGACTCGTACTGATTGGTTCCAGGAAGCGGACTCAAAAGTGATTAATATAAGTTGCAAGACATTTTTTCTCAATCGAGCTAAAATTAATATGGTTAAGTTTCAAAAAAAACTTTCAAACAAAAAAACACTTGAATTGAAATTCTCTTTGGGTCAAGAGCTTATCTATAGTTCTGTGTATACATATATGATTTTCTGTTCCTAGGTTCACCGTCTCCGTTTACAAGTACCCCATGGAGAACAACTCAAGCATGGAATGAAGAAGTAAGATTCTTGTTTTTTCTGAAAAGATTCAGTAAACAGCATAGACATTATTCCATAACACACTTTCTCTTTATCGTTTTAATCATTAAACATATGTTGTTTTTCTTCTTTATCTTTTGGTATATCAAAACATATACAGTACTGGGGATAGTAAAAAATAATTGAGATTTCCTAAATGTCTGTAACACAAATTCAATCAATGATATTTTGTGTTTACATTCCCCCAATTTAATTTCCTGGAAGTTTTCCATCATTTGTAATTGTCTTTATAACAAGCCTTCAAGAAGTTTCTAAGGGATTTTACATTGCTTATAACACCACAAACAGAAAATGTTTTAATTGTTCATACTACGGCGAAATATCACAAGTTTCGGTGATTTTTATTGTTTCGTTCATTTCGAATTCCCGTACCAGTTTAAACAGGCACACTGCAGGTTGAATACTTTGGCGGCATTTAAAATATTGAACGCATATTTCCCAAAAACATTTAAATTTCATCAAGCGTAAGCCATGATTGACCTAAAAACGACGTGACGAATATTCATGTCATCACATTAGTTAATACATGTGTCAACGCGGACTTCGAAATGTCTATCCGCTTAAGAGACATTAACCAATTCTCAGGTATTTGAACTGATCTTCGTATATGCAGAGTCTACGTGATTTCCAATTCACAAAAACTAAACGAATTGCATATTATTTACTCTTGATGCTTCAGTAATTTAGAAGTATCGGCATTTCTACTGTGATAATTAGCTTGTTTTATAGAACAAAATTTAGAAGCTACACTTTCTTGATTTAGTGAATGTTACAAATTTTATTGAAATACAATAACAATTTATTGGTATTTGTAATTTTATGATACAATGGATGTTGATTTAATATATTTTTTATCAGTTTGAATTGTCACTTCGTGAACAAATAGAAGAAATTCAAACGCAATGGAAAGCCACAATCGTACTAGTTGGACCAGTTGGAGCAGGAAAGTCTTCATTTGTTAATGCAATACTATCTGTTTCTCAGGGACATAAGGTTGATCGTGCTTTAACTGACAGTGGGAACAAAATTTGTACAACCACTGTAAGTAAGTTTTCATTTAAATCAATATAATGAAACGGGTTTTTCGTTGTCGCCTCATTTTCGAGTGCACTGTCCTTTAAAAATTACATTTATTTAGTTTCATTTACTAGTTAATGCGCATGACAGTACTTCTTGAAGTATGAAGTTTCATTAGAATCCCTTTATAAGTAAAGGAGATATGCTCTGGACAAAATCTCTATATTTTATCATCTTTAGTGACCTTGACCTTGCATTTTATTATGATAACCTCAGTGACCTCTAAATTTAACCTTGACCTTTGTTTTGACCTAGAGACCTTATTCCTGCGCGCGACACAGCTTTTCATAGTGGTGAACATTTCTATGAAGTTTCATTAAAATTTCTCCATGCGTGTAAGAGATGACAAAAATTGGACGCCGCCCGCCGGGAGGGGACTATAATACGACCCGTTTTTAAAACGGGCTTATAAAAAGTATCCGCATTCTACAGTATGAGTCAAATGACTTACTTCTTATGGTGATACAGTTTCGTATTCATATAAATATAACCAATTAACACATGTAATATAAAATCAGGTATTGCGAGTATTTATCGTAGCTAATAATGTGATAAATTAATTTTTGTTTGCAAGCGTATTTATAAGAAAAGAAATATTTACAAATATCCGATTTTGAGTTGTTTACTTTTATTGTAAAAAGTTGTATCAGCTTACATCAGATTTATTGCAAATATTGATTGCATATCAAAGACTTACGATGGAGGCTGGCTTGATATTTGACGAGGTAGATATCCTATATCTTTTCACATTCACAGAAGGTGACTTAGCTTAATAAGGCGGTATGGATATGTAACAGATTCCTTTTAAACACTTACAGTGTCTTTTCACATATACCTTTCCTTTAAATCTCTTCCAAAGGAACAGTCCTTTTTCCCTTTAATTACACAAAATACTTAATTACAAAAATGATTGATACATATATTTGTAGATTTTAAGGGACATAATATATATTTCAATTAAACTTTAATTAAGTTATTAATGATAATTACTTTTTGCATGGTTTTAAATTATGTACCAAATAAATGATAATAGTTGTGTCTATGTATATTAAACATTTCAGTTGGTTACATGTATTACATTAGATGTTTATAGTTTCAAAAAAGGAAATTAATATCAACATTGAATTTTAATGACATCTTTCAAAATAGTATAAATGAAATTAATTCATCAAATATTTAATACAGATGTCAACTTTTAAACATTGTGTCCATCCAAGTGTACATTATTAGTGAACAGGTAAAAAGAAAAATAACTTGACATTTTGTTTTAATTGGGTTCATTTGTAATTTTACTATAATACTAATCAATATAATATAATACTGATCAATGACATTTTCTGTAAAAATCGTCATAAAGTATCGGTAAGGCTCAAGTCTTAAAGACTAGGGCAATCTTTTTATAATATAGGTAGTTTCTGTATTGTTTCATACACATTTTTCATCAACAATCATTTATCGATCAGCCAATCGTTTAAAATGTATTAACATTTCAACTCAACATGACAGCAAAAAAAATGGGTGATTCTCAGTATAACTAGTGTAGCGTATTATTTTAATGATTGGATATTTGAAACATTTTGAATTTTTGTTCCACCACTTTGGGGGGGGGGGGGCATTTATATTTACCCTTGTCTGTCCGTCCGTCCGTCCGTCCAACCGTCCGTCCATCCGGGCGAACATCCAATGGTCTATGAGCTTCATTCCGTCCATAATTTTAATTAAGAAAAGAAGGAAATTCCATAAACCGACGGGTTTATGTTGTTATTTTACTGGTTTATGGGGAAAAAGCCCAAGAACCCCAATTGTTGGCACGTCCGTCCGACCGTCCTTCCGTCCGTCCGTCCGTACTCTTTTGTGTCGCAGGTAATTCACAAAGTATTTGACCTAGAGTATTGAAACTTAACAGGAATGTTTATCAGCATGTGCAGTTGTGCACCTGGTTAATTTTGTGTGGATTTATTTGTTGTTTTAGAGTTATTGTCCTTGACTCAGTAAAAATGTGCAATTTTCAACTTGTGTCGCACGTAACTCAAAAAGTATTTGACCTAGAGTCATGAAACTTAACAGGAATGTTGATCAGCATGTGCGGTTGTGTACCTGGGCAATTGCATGTGGATTTATTCAGTATTATAAGCCCCTTGACTTAGTAAAAATTTGCAATTTTCAACTTGTGTCGCACGTAACTCAAAAAGAATTTGACCTAGAGTCATGAAACTTTACAGGAATGTTGATCAGCATGTGTAGTTATGCACCTGGGTATTTACATGTGAATTTATATAGTATTTTTAAGAGTAATTGAACTTGGCTTAGTAAAATTTTGCAATTTTCAACTTGTGTCGCATGTAACTCAAAAAGAATTTGACATAGAGTCATGGAACCTTACAGGAATGTTGCTCAACATATGTAGTTGTGGGTTTGGTTTTACTTGTGGAATTATCCAGTATTTTTAGAGTTTTTGCCCCTGACTTAGTAAAAACTGTTTTATTATGTTGTGTTATTTGGTCCTTGAGTGCTTGAGTTTGAATCAACCAACTTTACAGGATTAATAATCAACATCACTGTGAAGCGCTATGCACCTGAGACTTTGTGGATTTTTTTTCAGTTTTGTTAGAGTTATTGCCCTTTACTAACAGTAGTATAATTTGCAATTTTCAACTTGAATAATATTTGACTTGTAGGCCTGAAGGTTTACAAGAATGTTGGTCAGCATATGTACTTATGCACATTAAGGTTTGCTTGTGGATTCATTCAGTATTTGTAAAGTTCTTGCCCATTACTAAGTAAAAAGAAATTTAGTTTTCACTTTGTGGCACATGTAGTCCAAAAAATATTTCACCTAGAGTCATAAGATTGACAAAACAGGGGCGTGTGGGGCACCCGTGTCCTTTGGACACATTTCTAGTTTCCATTTTTATATTTATTGACACAATTGACCGAACAAGAGAAGGTGTATTTTTAACAACATTATGGGTCAAAATTATATAGTTTTTAAGCATATATTTAGTCACTACTTTAGTTGCAAGTATGACACAGCAAACCTGCAGCAACAAAACTTTCTAAAAAAAAAGACTGCATCAAATGATAGAACGTGAATCGATTACTAAAACGGATCTATAAATATATATTTTAGCTCCACTATACGAAGTATATGGAGAGCTGTCCTACTCACCCGGCGTCGGCGTCCGCGTCCAGATTTCAGTAAAATATTTTTCACTATAACTTTTTTATTTCTTGAGGGATCAGCTTCATACTTCAAATATATGTTCCTTATCATTTTCACATCTTATGTGACAAGATTCATATCTCTAGCGCCGCTATATGCAGATTTATTTCCTCTTGAACTTAGAATTTTTCTTAAAAAATCATTTTTTAACGTAACTTATTTATTCCTTAAGGGATCAACTTCATTCTTCAAATGTATGTTCCTTATCATTAACCACAAGTTATGCGACAAGGTTTATAACTCTAGCACCAATTTTGCAAGAATTATCTCCCCATCTTTTACATGAAAAATGTTATTTTTTACTATCACTATGAACTGGCATTATTGATTCTCATAGATGGTAACTGACATGACAACTTGTCTCTTTAAACACATATAATTGATGCGAGTCAAATGGTCATACCCATTATACCCACAACAGATAAATGTGTCTAAAGTTGGGGGTGTCGCCCTGCTCGTCTATATCAAACATTTCCGCTCTATGAATCTTATATCACTCGAAAGATGCTTGTACCGGCTAAAGCATTATGTTTCAGTTGAATTTTAAATTAAGAATCCGTCTCTATATATTTACCTGTAGATATTGAATATTTTTAACATGTCTTAAATGACAAAATTGTGGATATCTTTTTTAGGGAAATATTCAACAGTTATTGTTTTCTACTTTTAGTGACCTTTAAATCCTATAATACAGCAGTGCCTTAAAATTTAGAAAACAAAATTTTTTTATCCCGAGTAAAGCAATCATCGAACACCAAGAAAAAAACAAATTCTTATTCACTAAATATGAATCAAACCTGATTGATATTTAAAATCACATATCAAAACAGTTAATAAATCTATTTTGTTGGGCTACAACAAAGAATTCTTGATGAACACAATCCTGGGTGACAATGATAATTGATAAATGAAAATCCATGTATAAAAATAAAATTTGACAGAAACAGCAAATTGGCGCCAATGGCATTGGTGATGTGTACACGTCTGTGTAAAAGACATACGTTTGTTTATTTTGTTGCTCATTTCAGTATGACAAATACACAGATAACTCCTTACTCCAAAACTTTCGACTGAGGGACTGCATGGGGATAGGACAATGTGAAGAAGAAGGATTAAATGTTGCTGACATGGTTTCTCTTCTTAACGGGCACATTAAGGATGGTTATAGGGTAATTGATGAATTAAAGTATGATATTTCCCTTCTTATAAATGTGCTTTGATTTATTCGGCCAAAATTTAGGAAAGAAATAATAAATTTTATGTGTTTGGCATAAGAAACAATCAATTTTGATTGGATGAGTACAATAATCACGAACAGCAGAAACATTAAACATTTCCATTTATTATGCTTACATTGATTTTATTATTGATTGTAATTTGCAGTATTGCTAATTTCCTGTATCATTTTCGAATTTCAGTTTAACCCAATAAGTCCAATTTCACCAGAAAACAAGGACCACTGGCGTATTAATCCAAGGTTCGAAGTTCAGACCCATTGTGTTGTTTTTGTAGTTGATGCAAATGTCATGCATTCTGGCAATCATGTAGCCTATGACAGGAAAATAAGTGAAATACAAGATGCAGTGAAGCGATTATGTAAGTAAAGTGGGCATTTATCTTCTGAAAAGCCGTATCATCCCTCGTGGTACGATGGTTATTACCGATGTTGTCTTACATTTTCTTATATGTGACATTAACTAATTAAGATCAGTCAATGTTGGATTTCATCGTTATTTTATAGCAAATTTCACAATGTCATTTAAATCAGAACAAATATTACTTTCTTCATACAATATTCAAACATGACTTGTGATTGTGTCACTTTACACAATACAAAAAACGATGTTAAACTATCAATCCACTTTGGTGGCTAATTTGTGCCATTTGTGTTTTCTCCCCACGACCCCGCCAAGCGAAAAGTCGGAAATAAACAAGTTAAAATGGCAGGGGCGCACAGTGAAAACACGCTAATTAGCGAGAGCGCGGGACAAAGTTTAATAAATAAATCTTCGCCCCGCTGAAGCGCGGAGCGAGATTTAAGAAAGCAAACAGCGAGGTCGCGGGACAAAAACACGCTTATTAGCGAGAGCGCGGGGCGAAAACACGAATGGCTCAAATCAGCCACCATAATGGAAACTGTAACTGATTTCAATTAAATGCGGCTGTCATATTTTTATAGATGTTCTTCTTTCGATAAGACAATAACGCAATTAGTAATATTTTCCTATCTTGTTGTCGGTAAAAGTCCGTCTTAAATAGTTTGACTTCCTGTAAAATTTACGCGGAAGACAAAAAAATAAGTAGAAGTTTTCATAATCTTTTGAAATTACAAACTGAAATCTGGGAATATCATTGGCCATTCTAAAATAAGTAAAGTAATATACAAGCGTAAAGCATTATTCTGAAATGCTTTACATATATAATTCATTAATTTTCATTAATCTAAATTTGGAGAAGTTTTATAATAACTTAGAATTGTCTATATCTGATCTTAATTGTAATAACCCCAGGCAATATTGAAAAACCGTAAAAATGTTAAGTAAAGAAAACAAAGGTTGTGAGAGTATCCCTCAACTTTACATAGAAAATTCGCCCGGCAATACTTACTTCTTCACCGATCTAGAAAAAGCAAATTGTCTCAACAATTATTTTGTTTCAGTCCCAACTGTAGACGACACCCATTCGTCCCTACCAGATTTTGTTTCTAAAAGTAATATTAAATTTTCTAGTCTACAAATAAGCGATCAGGAAATAAGTGATATCTTAATAACGTTAATTGCAAATAAAGCAAGTGGACCAGATGAAATTAGTCATAAAATGCTAAAAGAAACAAGATATTCTGTCTGTGCTCCACTATGCATTTTATTTAACAGATCTCTAGTCGAAAATATTTACCCTAATTCATGGAAATCAGCAGTTGTAATGCCAATTTATAAAAAGGGCAGTAAAACATGCCTATGAATTATAGACCAATTTCTCTAATAAGTTGTGTAGGTAAAGTATTTGAGCGAATTGTTTTTAAGCACGTTTATAATCATTTACATCTTGATAATATTATATATCATCATCAGTCTGGGTTTTTACCGGGTCATTCAACCGTCTTTCAACTTATTGATATTTATCATCAAATTACTCAGGCCTTTGACAAAAAAAACAATCTACATGTATGATATTTCGTGACATTTCGAAAGCCTTCGATAGGGTATGGCACAAAAGGCTTATATTTAAATTGCGGCAATACGGTATTGATGGCGATATATTAAATTGGTTGAGCAACGATTTTTTAAATCGGCACCAAAAAATTCTGTAAATTCAACTTTCTCAAGTGAGAAAATAACTACTGCGGGCGTTCCCAAGGGATCAGTCCTGGGTCCGTTGCTATTTTTAATCTACGTTGATGATATTGCTGATAATCTATTAAGTATAACTCGCCTCTTTGCAGATGATAGTTCGTTGTCGATTTCTTCCAGCAACATGAATTTTATATAAAACACACTAATTACCGATCTACATACTCTTCAAGAATGGTCTCATAAGTGGCTAATTAAATTTAATCCGGATAAAACAGAAATAATGTTTTTTTTCCTTAAATGATGAACAACGTCCTTCTCTATTCTTTGAAAATACCCAACTTACTTATGTAAAAACGCATAAACATCTTGGACTTACATTGAGTGAAGATGGAAAATGGCAAATGGCACCAACACATTAATAATATTATGATATCAGCTTCTAAAGTTCTAAGCTCAATGCAATCATTGAAATTTAAACTTAAACGAAATACATTAAATCTAATATATTCTGATTGCTTTTATTTATTTCTAAGATGTGACAAGTTAATTACCTGTTATTAAACATCAACATATTACTTTTTAATGAATACAGGATTGAACCTTGTACTTGTTTCTTTGTACTTTTTGTTGGTCAAATTAGAATCTGGGTAAAAACGGGAGGTAACTCTTGTATATAGTCAACTGCTGAAATCTATTACAAAACTAATATTTATGAATTTTGTTTAATTTTTTTGTCTTAGTGTGTGTGCGGATGGGTGTGCACGATTTTAAAAAGAATGATGAGCAGTACACAAACAATAAAGCGCAAAAAGCAGTGTCTTAACTTAAATGTTAGCTGATCAAATCTAAATTTGAAGAAAAGAAAACAATTTCTAAAATATCCCAATGCAATGATTCCAGATATGAACTGTGTGATTATATAATAGAAGCTTATACAATAAAATTAATTGGTTATAATGGAAGGTCTGTAATAAAATGAATAATTACGTCTTTATCCCTCATGTATAGACTCAATCAAACAAAGTCTGCACTTTTCATAATCAATGCATCGGAGGGACCACAATTTTTCAGAATTTTTAGTATTAGATATTGCAATAAACCACGAAAGAATTGAACATGGAAGTTGTAGGCAATTGTGAGATACATGATCTGATATAACATTTAGCTGATGATAAAATGTTTTAGAACAGAATAGTATTATTTTTCATATAAAGGTTCATTCTAAATTGTTTAGAACATTATCATGATTTCTTTACAAGCAACATTTTCGTAAGAATATCTAATGGTGAAATTATTTTGTTTTTATCAATATTTTGAAATATTGGTAGAAAAATATGTCCATTGTAGTAGACATTACATAGACAAGAAGGCATTGATTGTATGTCTATTTAGAAGTATGTAAAAGATTTATCAATTTGATATGGGTGCAGTTAATTGTACATCAGTCACACGGTAGATGAACTAAGAAACGGAATAACAGTTCATAAGCAGCTAATAAGGAATCTTTAAGTAAGATGAAGAATAGAAAAGTACATACCGTTTATCAACTCAAACTTTTCTAACAACCACATGAGTACATTTATACACGACCGATTTGTCCAAAAAAAGAAATAACTGCTATTTAAGCTTGCATTTGTTTTGGATTTTAATTCTGTTATCCAATGCTGGTATTTTTTTATCTGTTCGTGTCTTTTAACGTAAAATGATTTTAAGTTAGATTCATTATTGTGCTAATTAGAATGCACATACAGTGTACAAGGGTAAACTGCAATGACCAGTAAGAGATAGTGTGGTGTCTAAGAACCATTGTATAAAGTATTAAATGTGTTATAGGACTAACTGGTGCGTTTGCACTCTAATTTTATAAACTTTTGGTCATATTGTAGAAAACAATTTTTGATTACCGCACTTATTTTCTGTTCACATAAGTCCTTTGAGATAACATTAATGCTAGAAAGAACTTTTGCAAAGCAAACAATAACATTAGGCCGAAAAATACCACTCAGGCCTTTGGTTTTAATGGTCAAATCCTTTGCTTCAAAACCCCAAACCGGTGTGAAAAAAGCCGATTAACACCGCTGAGGGAAATATTATTTCTTAACGAAAACATGAAGAAGAAAAAAAAGCATATGCCTTAAAGATATACTATGATCAAATTTGATATTAGAAAATATTGATAATTGCTACACAGTCTCTTTATAAATATATTATCAACATGTTATGACTTCTCACAAAGTAGATATGTTATGTTTAAATTTCTAAACACTATAGGTGGTCACAATAAAAATATATAGTGTCATTAAAAAAACTGGCATTTTTTTAAAGAAAATGCTAACTTTGCTTGACCTGCAGCTTCCCATACTTAGTTCATAGCTTCTTTTATTAAAATTAGACATATTCAGTAAGAATTGTATATATATATATATATATCAACGAATTTCCGTGATAAAAATATTTTACTCAAGAATGAGCATAAAATATCTTAAAGTAACATTTTTCATGTACAACATAGGTGTACCACGTATTTTGATCTTGACAAAATCTGATGTTCTTTGCCTAGAGGTTCAAAAGAAAATAGCAAACATGTTCCGAAGCATTAAGATTAGAGAAGCTGTTAAAACGGCAAACGAAGTTTATAACATTTCCGTAGCCCGCATTCATCCTGTTACAAATTATGAAGACGTTACTGAAATCAATTGGAAAAGGATCATAACTCTTCTCTTCGCATTGAGGCAAATTACACAGTATTACAAGATTGAAACTGATATCGATCAGTTTTAGCGATAGTGATTGAACATTAGTAAACAGTGATGTCAAATTTTTAATAAAATCTAATACAAAACTAAAATTTTTAACAAGTTACGTTTGAAAAAAAACATGTATGCCCCTTATCGGCAGCCAGTAAGTCATGTGGTCATGTTTTTTTGACTGACTTTTAACCAAGTGACCAAAAAATCAATAGGGGTTATCTACTGGTAATGACTTGTCACTAGGTCTTTACGTGCACGGTCAATGTGATTATGACCTTTGACCTATAAATCAATAGGGGTTATCTACAGACGAAGACCAATGCACCAATAAAGTTTGAAGGTAAGGGCCCATGAGTTGTTGATATGTTGATCAGAAAGCTTTTTACCTATCAGATTAATTTGACTTGAACTCTGACCCCTTGACCCCAAATATCCATTGAGGTCATTTTCTGCCCAAGAGCAATGCATTTGTAAAGTTTGAAGGTCAATGGTTCAAGTGTTGTCCGGTTATTGATAGGAAACTGTTTTGACATACAAGGACAATGTGACATCAACCTTCTACACCTTGACCTAAAAAATAAAGGGGTCATCTACTTGCCAAGACCAATGCACCTGGCACCAGCTTGTCCAGATTGATCGAAAATCATTTTACCTATAAGGTCAATATGAACTTAACCATTTACCCTTTGACCCCAAAATCAATATCCAGGGCCAATGTACCTACAAAGTTTGAACGCCAACGGCTCATTGCTTGTCAAGTCATTGATTGAAAACCGTTTTTACCTACAAGGTCAATATTACCTTGACCTTTGACCCCAACATCAAAAGGGTTCATCTACAGGTGATGAACCATCATCATACCAAGTTTAAAGTTCCTAGGTCTAATTGTTCTTTAGTTATTGATCGGAAAACGTTTTTACCTATAAAGTCATTGTGACCTTGACATTTGACCCCAAAAGGGGTCATCTACTGTTCATGCACAATCATTTACCAAGTTTGAAGTTCGTAGGCTATAGAGTTCTTTAGTTATTTATCGGAAACCGTTTTTACCTACAAGGTTAATTTGACCTTTGACCTCTTAACTCCTAAATCAATAGGATACATGTGCTGGTCAGGAATAATCATCTAACTAAGTTTGAAGTTCCTTGGCCCAAGCGTTCTTTACTGATCTTCTTTATTGATCGGAAACCGTTTTTACCTTCAATGTCAAAGCCAATAGGGATCATTTACTGGTCATGGTCATTCATCATATCAAGTTTGAAGTTCCAAGACCTTAGCTTTGTTTGGATAATGATCGGAAACAGTTTTTTCCTACAAGGTCAATGTGACATTGGCCTTTGACTTTTTAACTCCAAAATCAATATTTTGATGTTCCTAGGCGCAGGCGTCCTTTAGTTATTGATCGGAAACCATTTTGTCTACGGCCCAACCGACCGACTGCCGGCTGACAGAGCAATATACCCCCACTTCTTTGAATAATTTTCTCGGTGTGTATATATGTGTATGGTCAAAAAAAAGGATTCCGTAGAATAGCCTTCAAAGTTGAGTTTGCATGTTGTTGTGATAAAAAATTAACTTATTTCACACATAAAAAACCTTTAATTGTGTCAGACCCATTTTGCCGTAAGTGCTAGGTTCTTATTTCTCAAAAGCTTATTACTTTTGGTGACCTATGACAGATAATTTTAAACATATTTGCCCGTTGGCAATATAGCTAAGTAATCTTTAACATTTAGGTTGGCATAGATATGAGAGATACATTCGTGCTATGTATTTCATATTAAAGTCAAAATACCTTATTGTTACATGAAGTATTTAAAGTTCTGTTCAACCATGTTTCCTCCTACAAATTATTTTACATTGATTTTAAAATATTATTATTGAATTATAAATATGTGCAAAATAACGAGACCATCAATAATGTAAACTAATGTGCTTAAAAATATCGAAAAACACGCAAAAAAGAATTTATCCGGCACCGTCAGCTTTTAATGTCAAATTAGCGATTGATCTGATCTTTTCAATTGATTTCATATATTTATATTTTTGCATATTAATGTAATATTTATATAACTGCCAACGATAAAATTGCATGTCAATTGTAACTGCTGTTTACAAAAGTATTTTTTGATTATTTTAGGTTACTTTTCGGATTTTAAGTGTTTTCGGTACTTCCGTCGGTGTTGCAAATTCGTGGATTTAGTATCAACAAAATTGTCTCATGCACAATCTTGTTATTTGAATAAACTTTAATGTCTAACGCAATTCTCTTAAATCTAAATTCACAATCAGAATTATACAGTCACAATGCTTAGAGAATTCTGTTTAAATCTAAACCGAATTTCAAAATCCTACTCATCCAAACCCGAACCGGTGTGAAATCGCTAAGGTTATTTTTTTAATAAAATATAAAATATGTTAAATATTAAGATATAAGCATATTTTTAATTGAAGTGCTTTCAAGTAACATTTTTCATTTACAATATAGGTGTACCAAGTGTTTTGATCTTGACAAAAGCTGACGTTCTTTGCCAAGAGGTTCAAAAGGACATTACAAACATGTTCCGAAGCGTTAAGGTTAGAGAAGCTGTTATAAAAGCAAGCGAAGAGTTTAATATTCCGTTAGCCTCCATTCATCCAGTTTGGAATTATGAAGATTCTATTGAAATCAGTTGGAAAAGGAACATACCACTTCTGCTCGCCTTGAGGCAAATTACACAGTATGCAAAGGGCAAGATTGATGCTTTCAACGAACATAGCTATCGTTACAAACATAAGTTATGGCAGGAGTGACTTTTATATCTTTTGAAACTCTTCATTTCTTATTTTCTATGGTAGTGGATTACTTTACAATTTTTTTTTACTATGATTCTTAATTACAAGTTGAAAATAATACATACTCATTTTACTACCAAGTGTCATTTAATAAGTGTTGTACTCTATTTTGTTCAGGTTAACTACACAGTTAATTATACTGTCCAGCTTCAAATAAGTATACACTTTTGCAAGTCCCCTTAATGTTATTTTCGTGTTTTTTTAACGTATAATCGATAACCTACAAGTATCTTTCCATAACTAGTAGTGTATCTATAATGCTGAAAATGTACATTGCTGACAAAACTAATCATGAAAGAAGATATACAAGAAAATCATTGATGCAAAGCATCAAAGGGCGACGCCAAAAGAATTTGATTCAGATTTGCACCTAAATACTTAACAAAAGATGTGTACTTTATAGCAGTACCATTACATGTGACCTGGAGGCTAGGGCCAGTTTAAGTTGAAACTTAAAGCAAAGAAGAATAGACTCTGTCTTGCCAAGATGCAAAGACAATTTATAGTCAATTAAGCAATCTTATAAGACTTATGCTATAAGAAAGAATTTCTTCAGATTTATTTATGAGACACAAGGATTCCTGAGTCATCAGCATATAATCACTGGCACGAGTATCGGACCTGGGAAGAAAAAATATGACCAGATGACCAGATTGATAAAAAAACTGTGTTTATAAAAACCAAAAAAAAAATGTAAATAATGATCCCCTTTAAAAATATACTATCAACTTGAAGTATATTTTTAAAGGGGGTCATTATTTACATTTTATTTTGGTTGTTGACACTTTTAAGATGAACACAGGTTTTTTATCAATCTGGCCATATTTTTTCTTCCAAGGTCTGATACTCGTGCCTGTGCATTATAATAAAAGCTTATTGCTTAGGGTTGAAGACATGTAATTGACATATATTAGACATAAAAGAGGACCTAAAATGAACATCAGGGGACAGCATAGGTACTCCCAGAGCAGTAGTAGAATGAGTACCAGCCACATCAACTAGCTACTATCAGAGATAAGACTTAAACCATGTAAGAATGTCATTATATATGGCAGATGCTTGAAGTTTCATGAAGAAGAAGAAAAACAACTTCTTCATCCCAGATGTGCAGTATAGTGTGTTCAACTGTATCAAATGCCCTTTGTAGATCTAAAAGTATCATGCAATACTGCCTTTGTCCATTTCAAATAATGCAATCTGTTAAATGAATCAAACATGTGTCAGTTGAAAAACCACTTCTAAACCCTGACTGAAACTGCCTGACCATGACTCGAACCCATGACTTTCAGAAGACCAACTGAGCTATCCGGCCTGCTACACATTTTCTCTTTAATAATGAAACAGTTCTAAACCACAACATATTTCCCCACTATATCGATTTGTGTTCGTGAATTTCTTATGTTACAGAGCATAGGAAATTGAACTCATGCTTATATGCAGTCACAGGATGAGAAAAACTTTGAGCTTGACCAGAACTCAAAACTGTGACCAACATAAGAAATTTTACGAAGGCTGATTTGTATTTTGCATCATGGGCACCGGGCAAAAACATGAAAATGCAAACAAACAAACCACTTTGTGGTAGATTGTATTTTCATGTTTTCATCTGGCGCCCAGTTACTTTTTATACTATGTTGGTTCTCATGTGGCACAAATCACCCACTATAAATTTAGTGCACAAATTTATTCAAGGGCAAGTAACAATCTACTCTATGTACAGTCTGTTGTCGGGTTGACTCAGGAGACCTGGAGGTTGAGACTGGTGTCTCTTCATTACAAATAGATAAGACCGAAGCTGTTTTTTTCAAACTATGCACATGTTAGAAAAAAAAAAGAATAACTATTCAGAATATGATTTTTTGAGACTTTATTAATTACATTGCTTGATCCAAGTTTAAGGACATTTTCAATCAATACAAGTTTTATCATTTATAACTATAAATGAAAGTCTCATCCCTTTAATAATAATGACATAACTGTATCTCTTTAAATGCAGAAAATATAAGTCTCAACATATCAATATACTACTGTCTAAGATATACATGTATGCACATAACATTAATAATTCCCAGTTTATATTAAATAAATATGAAATCCTAACATTAACATGCTTTTGATGACCTTACAACTGGTGAATTATATACAACAAAAATAGTATTATAAGTAATACCTAAGATAGACAGAAAAGAACAAATAATTTAGTAAACATGAGTTACTTCCCCTTAAAATAAAGAAAACCTGAAAACCCAAAAGAACACCCTAAACAGCAAAATTATGAAATGCTGCAGGTTCAGTTTTATCAAGCCATGCAAATTAATGGTAATGTATTCATAAAAAAATAGATGGCCATGTGTCAGCAGTAATTGCAGAAAATCGGATAGCTTTCAACATCCGGATACTGGTACACTTTGTAAAAACAACCATTCTGCGCAACAGATAAATGTAATAAGGATAAAATCAATAGGATAATCGTTTACAACAGTTCCATTACCTATCCTTATACTCAATTGCAGGTGAACTTTCTTCTTGTAGGAAAATTTTGAAAATGTATAAATGAATGAATGAACTGATACGGCCTCAATCTAGACCACAACGATATTCGAAATCCGGGTTTTAGTATTGTCATTAAAACTAAGGGACAAGCTGTTAAACTTAACCTGAAATTTCGTGAAAATAATATCACAATGCACATGCTTTTTATAAAAAGTTATTAAATACAAATATAATAACACATTTGTTTACTTGATTTTTACGAATCAAAATAAAACTTATTAACACAACATGAAATTAACTGCTAATAATAACAGCTCCTTCCATAGGCAAAAATAAAAAGCGTTCCATAATAGACGACGCCGCTCACCGGCGTCGCCAATAACTAATTTATAAAAAGTTGAATTTAAATTCTTATTTATTACTTGTTGTCATTGTAGATCGTAAATATCAATATAATTATATTTCTGAGCTTAAAAGAAAGTTAGCTTTTCTTTTCGTTAATTCAAGATTGGTTGAATGTGAAGATGGTCAATGATGACGCAATGGTTAAAAAAAATAACCGACATATGGTCTATGTTAGCCTATTAAATCTGCTTTTGATTGAATATGTTGTTTTTCCTTGTTTCCTGGTGACAATTACGTGCATTGTTAATTTATTGTTTCAGCGCGATATGTACCGCAAACTAACAAAAACACCGTACACTTTTTGTTTAAAGTGGATTGGTCAACAATGGACAAATTTCCCACAAGTAATACAAATTTTGTGGAAAGGAATACGAATATATAATTCTAAAAACGATATCCCTGAAATATAATTCTTACTGGAGTTCTAAGTAATTCAGTATTAACTTTAACGTTATTACAGTTGTTCTAGAACAATTTAGTAACTTCTATATAACGACATATATTAGGTAATGTATTTCACACTTACCAGCAACATCCATATACTGATATAGTTTTCTTTCGTCGTCTGTTTTCACTACCAACATAACTACATGTATTTATGTTTTTCAGGGACCTTCCGTTTTGGACCAACTCACTTTAAAAACAAAGTTCTTTGATAATGATTTATTTCATTTCGAAAAAACAACATCAAAATATATGTTTAAAATAGTCATTTTGCATAATTAACGTTAACTCAATTATTAACTTCCAGTATACATATATCTGTTTATAAAACATAATTACTATTAAAAAGATTGTTTTGATTTTATACTTGAATGTATTTTGCACATTTAGTGTTACTTTGTTGCTGTTTCACAAGTTGCTTCAACATTATAAATAAATTATTTGAAGTGTATTTATCTTTAACTTACTTGGCTGCATTAAGCGAAATCATTACGCCAAATAACGATATTCTTACTGTACACATGCAGGCTCAGTTTGATAGAACATGTCCATCAAGATGCGTTTCAAATGTTTTGAAGTTACCTACAGATGTAGATACTGCATAAAATGTGATGTCGGAGCCATTGTTATGATTGACACACTTTAAAACCATACAAACTGAAGAACAATATTGATTAAACTTTGATATGACTCAACTCATCACAAACCTAACAATTGCCACAAATAAATGGTCAATATTGTAAAATATTGTTAAACTAGGCAGATGAAATAATTTATTTTATGTAACAGAAATTTGAATTATTCAGCTGATATTGAGTTAAGCTGTACAGAAATATAAGAAGTGTTCTACAGTAGTCTAATTTGAGATTTAGAAATGAATTGGGGAAAAATCCAGACTTATATAAGACTAATTTAAAATGCAAATCATCAACAACGCCGTACATGCTTTTGTAAGAATATTTTAAAGTAATTCATATATCGTATCATAAAAGCATGGACAAATAATAATGCAACAGTACAACAGTACAAATTATTCAACTAGTTAGAGTCTAAAAAGATCTAATTTATATGCTACTTTCAAGGAGGATGAATGGTTGGATGTGTAACATTGCGTTCGAAAACTTGGATGATGCAAAGTATAGGATATGCGTTCAAAACATTCAGAATATATGGACGCTGCCATCTTAATATTTTTAGACAGTTATCTTTGAGTTGAGATAAGGGTAAAAAACTAGAAACAGAGACAAAAACAAATATTCGTGATCATTTAACTA